TCTCGCGTTTCAGCGCCGGTGTTTGGTCCTCGCGTTCAGTCGCGCGTTTTGTCCGCGTTCAGCGCGCGCGTGTTTGTCTCGCGTTCACGCGCGGTTTGTCTCGCGTTCAGCGCGCGGTGTTTGTCTCGCGTTCAGCGCGCGGTGTTTGTCTCGCGTTCAGCGCGCGGTTTGTTTCGCCGTTTCGGCGCGCGGTGTTTGTCATCGCGTTGAGCGCGCGGTGTTTGTTCGCGTTCAAGCGCGCGGTGTGTGTCTCGCGTTCAGCTGCGCTGTTTGTCACCGTTCGGCGCGCGGTGTTTGCTCGGCGTCAGCGCGGGGTGTTTGTTTCGCGTCAGGCGCGCGGTGTTTGTCTCGCGTTCAGCGCGCGGTGGTTTGTCTTCGCGTTCAAGCGCGACCGGTGTTTGTTTCGCGTTCAAAGCAGCGGCGTGGTTTGTCTGCGTTTCCAGCGCCGCGGTGTGTCTCGCAGTTCAGCGCTGCGCCGTCTCTCTCCTCTTTCCTCTCTCTTTCTCTCTCTCTCTCTCCTCTCTCTCGTCTCAGTCTCTCTCCTCTCTCTCTCTCTCCCTCTCTCCTCTCTCTCTCTCGTCTCTGCTTACGCGCAGCGCTCTCACTCTTGTCTCTCGCTTCTGCTTTCGCTCTCGATCCGCTCTCTCTCTCTCGCTCTCTCGACCTCCTCTCTCTTCTCTCGCTCTATCTCTCTTCTCCGTTTCTCCTCCCTCTCTCTCTCTCCTCCTGTGTCTCCCTGTCTCTCTATCGCGCCGATCGTCTCCTCTCTTCTCTCTTTCGGCGCGCGCGATTCTCCCTCTTTGTCTTCCTTCTCTTTCGCTCATCCATTCTCTCCCTCCTATTCTCTCTCTCTTCTCTCTCTCTCTCTCGCAGTGTTGTCTCGCGTTCAGCGCGCGTGTTGTCTCGCGTTCGGAGTGGCAGTCACGGACACACGCGGCTTCGAAAACAATGAGAATATGTAGATGCGGCGTTCACCAAGGCGATGTGGCTCTCCCGTTTGAGATCAGTACAGCGATACGACACAAAAGTGAAAAAGTCGGATTATCTGATCGTCTGATAGGTGTCTGATTCCCCCGGGGTACTCGAACGTACGCCTGGGTACGGTCCGTATACCGGAACGTACCTGGCACTTATATTATATGGCCTGGACCGTACCTAGGCCTACTCCACTACCGAGTCTAGGGAGTCGCCTACGCTACCCTAACCCTAACCCGCAACGCCGAACGCGCTAACTTAACCTTAACGCCTATCCCTAATTCCTAACCCTAACCATAATCAAATAGTGCCAGGGACTTCTGTATACGGACCGTACCTGGGTACTGTGTCGGCAGTACCGCTGGGGACATAGACCCTATGCAGCATTACTATCTCAATGATCTGGAATGTCGCTAGTAATTGTCTGAACGCAGGTCGTATACGTCGTAACAGAGTCCTAACGATCGGATGGTCCGGAGGAGGTCGCCAAGGCAACCCCGACAGTTAGGTGCGTCCCGTAACATTCGGGAAACTCAGCCGATTTTTCGTCTAGTCCGGATTGCAATACGTGACTATGTCGGACAGATTCATGCTGGTATCGGATCAAATGCGTAACAATGTCTGTGTGTCTGGACGGTGTCTCTGTGGACGGGACGCTGACGTGATGAAACGGGCATGATCTGGAGAAAGTCCATCATTGTCATCGTCTCCGTCAGCGTCGGTTCAACTGTCGGTCACGCTGTCTATCCTCTGGTCGGATCGCATTCTGGGAGAATCCGGGAGCGTTGTCGTGAATCAGATTTGGTCGGCTTTTTACCGATGCGAAAGATACATAATCGTGATCAGAATAATCCGATTGAGAACTGGAAATCGGGACGAATTCGCCTGGGAACGCTGATATCGGGCGGGTCCGCGTTCCTGAACAATATCTGATGTCGCGTGATTAAATAAATGTTTGACAAATTTTTAATGAAAGTTTGAATTTCCCCGCCACCGAAATGCACAGGATCTTGATCAGGACTTTTGACAATTTTAGATCGGAAAGGTCGCTATCAAGGTCGGCAGTAAAAATCCTGAATGTGTGACTGGGCCTGTCTGTGCTTTCGCTTTCGACGAATTCGCGAGGCGTGGGCGCTGGCCGCGTGCATGCATTAAATATCATTAAGTTTATTCGTATAATTCATCTCAGGAATCGTTCCGATTTTTGCGCAGCATATGTTTGGTTAGGTAATTATATAAGTTCACGAATGCACGCGGATTTATTCCACGGAGGATGGGAGGTGGGTGGTGGAGTGAATGGCACGCGGATTATCCACGAGGATGGGGAGGGTGGGTGTGGGAAGTGAAGTTTTGCACGCGATTATATATTCCACGAGGAGAGGGGGAGGGTGGGTGGTGGGAGTGAATGCACGCGATTATATTCATTGTCCACGAGAGGAGGTGGGTGGGTGGTTGGAGTGAATGCACGCCGGATTATATTTATCCCACGAGGAGCGGGAAGGGTGGGTGGCTGGGAGCTGATGCACGCGGATTATTCCACTGAGGAGTGGGAGGGTGGGTGGGGAGTTGAATGCACGCGGATTATAGTTATTCCACGAGGAGGGAGGGTGGGTGGTGGGAGTGAATGCACGCGGATTATATTATTCCACGAGGAGGGGGAGGGTGGGTGGTGGGAGTGAATGCAGGCGATATTCCATCGAGAGGGATACGGGTGGTGTTGGTGAGTGAATGCCGCGATTAATATTATCCAGCGAGGAGGGGGAGGGTGGGTGTGGGGAGTGAATGCATCGCGGATTATTCGTCAGCGAGAGGGGAGGTTGGGTGGGGGAGTGAATGACACGCGGATTATATTGTTCGCACGAGGAGGGGGAGGGTGGTTGGTTGGAAGTGAATCAGCCCGGATTAATTCCAACGAGGGATGGGGAGGGTGGGTGGTGGGGAGTGAATGCACGCGATTTAAATATTATTTCCACGAGGAGGGCGGAGGGGTGGTCGGCTCGGTGGTGGGATGGAGGGATGCGTGCGCGGTCTCTCTCTCTCTCTCTCTCTCTCTCTCTCTCTCTCTCTCTCTCTCTTCTCTCTCTCTCTCTCTCTCTCTCTCTCCGCTAGCTTAGCCAGTCAGGTGCGAATTAATTAATTCTACATGCGGTTAACGACGAATTCGTAATGAGAGTAATTAGTACGGGTTTACCCACGGATTCGTAATGAGAGTAATTAGTACGGGTTTACCCACGAATTCGTAATGCGCGGGCGTAGACTGACGCGCCGATCGCTCACCCCGCGTGCGGCGACCGCACGCTGTCGGTCGTCGGCGGCAGTGTCGGTCGTCGTCGGCGGCAGTGCGGTCGATCGTGTAATGTGGTGTAATCGCTGGGCAGGTGTGGCTCAGTAGACTCGATGTTTGCTGGGTCAACACTAGGTGAGAGCGTCGACTGGCACGCGCGCGCTAGCTCGATCCCTCTCTGTAGTCGCGACGATCCAATAGTGTCGCTGGCAATTCGGAGTTTATTATATTTGATTATATCATGTTATTACCGCCAAAATTGGGGAAATGTAACTTGAGTGGAGAGAAATTAAGCTGATGTTAGCGTAAAATTCAAGCTCCTAGGATAGCAGTAACGATGCTAGTTGCTAGGGTAACAGCAGTGATGCCCAGTTGCTAGGCAAGAGAAAACAAGCGAGAGAGAGAGAGAGAGAGAGAGAGAGATATACATATACAGATACAGATACAGATACAGATACAGATACAGATATAGATATAGATATAGATATAGATATAGATATAGATACAGATACAGATACAGAT